GTATGAGTATGTGTATGTGTATGTGTATGTGTGTATATGCATATATACATATGAAGCCTCATCCTAAACCCTAAACCCTAAACCGTAAACCCTAAACCCTAAACCCTAAACCCTAAACCGTTTCTTTGCTCCCCCGAGGTGTCAACGCCCGATGGGAAAATACGGTGGTTGCCTCCAGCAGCTCTGAGGTGCCGCGGTGTTTAGGGTTCAGGGTTTAGGGTTTAGGGTTTAGGGTTCAGGGTTTAGGGTTTAGGGTTTAGGTTTTAGGGTTCAGGGTTTCTCAGTGGTGGTGAAGGGCGGCTTCCTATTTTCCTGACAATTTTTGGGAGTCCCTCTTGTATTGTGCTCATGCTTGTCGTCCTCCTCGTCCTCGTAGTTGTGGTGGCTGTGGCTTTGGTTTGTGGGGTTGTTGTTGTTGTTGTCGGTGGTGGCTGTGGCGTTGGCTTTGGTTTGTGGTGGTGGTGGTGGTGGTCGTGGTGGCGGCGGTGGTGGTGGTGGTGGCGGTGGTGTTGTTTCTGCCGCTGCTGTTTGTTCGTGTTGTTCGTGTTCTTACTATTCTTCTTGACGTGGCTTGTCAAAGGTAGAAAAAAGTGTGTATCACTAATTGACATGATCCGTCAGGTCTCCCTAAAACCCTATAAAGTCCTAAACTTCCGGCGTTTCTCAGGTCTCCCTAAACCCAGGGCCCTAAACCCTCATACCCTACACCGTCCTAAACTTCCTTCTCAGTCCCTATAATATAGGGGCCTAAATAACTGCCTATACTATTTTGGGGGGGGTTCCTTATTATACTTATAGTATAATATACCCCAAAACCCTATTCTAATTATCAAGGCCCCTATAGTAAACCCGAGTACTCTGAAGCTTCTTCTCAGGTCTTGTGCATTTCGGTGCCTGAGCTCAAGAGTCTCCTTGGAGAAGATCTGGGCCGTGTTTTGGAGAACGGCCTGGTCTTGAAGGCGATGCAGGCACCCAGGATTTCTGGCGGGTTTCTGCGGGTTTTTGGATGAAGGGTGCGGTTTCAGCTTTCGGTGCTTCGGCTAGAAGCTTAGCTAAGGGGCGAGGGAGACCTGAAAAGTAGGGTTCTTACGATGAAGATTCCCATGAAAGAGGGGCCCTTAATTTTGAGAATAAGGCCAAACTGCTGGGGGCTTGGGATGGAAGTCCGTGACGGAAGTCTGTGGGAGAGAGTGCCATGTATATAGCTGTCGTTCGCAGAGTATCAGCGCATCGATCAGTACGGGCATGGAGATTCATTGGAGACACCTGCGCAGACTTGCGATTGAGACCCCTATCGTAGCCCTGATGAATGCCCATGCAGAAACCCTTGTAGATCCCTCAAAGGAACCCCTCTCTGGCCCCCAACACCATGGCCTCTTGCAGGAAAGTGCAGTGCTCTCCCAATTCTCTTCTGGCCAGCGCAGCGAGATCTCAAAGTGGATCACGGTGCGGACCTATGCGGTGGGTGCCAAGGCATGCGGCTTTGGTTTCTTTGAGAACTCGGTCCAACCTCAAGCGGCATCATCAGTCACAGAATCCTTAAACCCTAAACCCCAATTATGTAAACTCTGAGTTTGAAAGAGTCTGGGTTCAGATGTGGGAGAGTGACTCAGTGGTCCGGTGCAGGACCCTTGGCCTAGGATCTACTGACAGCACTTTGGAAATCGACGAAGATCGCACGAGAGTCTTCGAATCCAGACCACGATGGATTGCCAGGTTGAAGACCATGCGGGCTTCCTGGTGGTCGTGAAAGGCCGATGGTTCAGGGTTTAGGGTTTAGGGTTTAGGGGGTTTAGGTTTAGGGTTTAGGGTTTAGGGTTCGATAGACACATCCGAAATTTTGGCGCCCACATTAGAAGGGATGGAGGGACTTGAGAAGTTGCTTTGGCCAATGTGTTGCAAGAACATTAGCTTGTGCAGGCAAGGCATCTTCGGAAGGTAAGATGCAACGGCGCTGCCAGAAAGAGCTCCTGCCGCTCTGGGTGCTCGGTCGGCCCGGCTGTTCACTCAACTACTGTTGGCACATTTGGGCTAGAATCAAACGTTTGAAGAGCTCACGCCAACAGAGGATCGTTAGCAGGGATGTGGCATTGCGATTTTTGCCGAAGGTACATAGAAGCTCGACCTCGGCTTTTTCCCCTAAACGCCAGGATCTTCTGAGGGCCCACCACATCCAACTTGAATGGCACCTTCCTGCGTTGGGGAAGCAGCTGTCCTATGGCCCTTTGCAAGCCCGATCCCTTGTTTTCAACAGAACTGATCCATGTTCGATGTAGCTACTGTTTCTCTGGGAATCTCATCTTTTGGCAAACGGAAGTTCCAGTTTGTCATAGGAGCTTAGGATCAAGCTCCTCGATTGTGAGGACTGCAAGCTGCTGTGATGAAACAACAACTTTCATTCAGGCTTTCGCGTTGTGTTGGTCGACCGGCCACGCGCTGGTGATGGCCTGAAAGGTCTCTAACCCTTGGCTTACCCACCCGTTGGCCCGTTGGATTGGGCAGGCGAAGAGGCCACAAAATACACCCAAACCCGCAACCTAAACCCTAAACCCTAAACCCTAAACCCCCAAACCCAAAACCCTAAACCCTAAACCCCCCAAACCCAAAACCCTAAACCCTAAATCCTAAACCCCGGCCTGTTTCCTGGAACTCCGCAGCTCCCTCAGTAGCAGACGCTTGCTTCGAGTTTTGCGCTCTGCGAAGGCCAAATCAAAGGCAAGTGGCAAGGCCCGTGCTGGGGTTTGGGGTTTAGGGTTTAGGGTGGGGGAGGGGGTGTAGTCAGGACGGTTTGGGCTTTAGGGTTCAGTCTTGGTCGTAGTCAGGCTCCAGTTTCAAGCGTTTTGGGTTTTGACTCTGTGTGGGGCCAAATGAAGAGGGAACATCTGTCAGCATCCACCATGACGTACTAGGAAATAGTAACGTAGACCACTGATCACAGCCTTTCACAGCCTTACTGTAAGAGCCTTAATCCGGATGGAAACCCACCATAGAGGTTGATTAGTCAGGGTCTGCATTATGCTGCTCAGGACTAGTCGTTCCTTGGGGATCCACCTCCACAATGCCTCAAGAGCCTTTCCAGCTGAAGCCTGGACTTGCAAGTACTACAGCAAAAGTAGTAGTAGTAGTAGTAGTAGTAGTAGTAGTAGTAGTAGCAGCAGCAGTAGTAGCAGCAGCAGTAGTAGCAGTAGTCGTAGTCGTAGTCGCAG